GTTTAGCTTATTTTGCTACTCAACGCACCTTGATTAACTATTTTTAATCATACTGTTTTCTGAAATGTGAAATTTTTTCAACATGGATACAAGTCATACATTTTCAGCTTCTGAAAACAAAACTGCTTTTCAAATACTGTAACTCTTTCCAAGTACTTGTGATCATCAGTTTTTAGCTCACTTGAGTTTTTCTGGTTTTCTGATCACATTTTGTTTGTCATCCATCTGTCTGCCTGTAAACTTTTCACATTTTTGTCTTCTTCACTAGAACCGCTGGGCAATTTCAACCAACCCTGCCACAAAGCATCTTTGGGGAAAGGGGATTCAAGTTTGTTCAAGTGAAGGGTCACACCCTCTTTCAAGGGGGGATAATCAAGAATTAGTGAAAATTTGGTGGTATCATTTTAAAAAAAGTCTAATATCAAGAACCACTGACTGGGCCCAAAAAGTTGAAACTTTCTTTACATAGACTTAGTGTAGCTTCAAATTTGTTAAAATTATGACCCACTGGGGTAGGGTGGGGCCACATAAGGGGATCCAATGATTTACATAGAAAAATGCAGGGGATTTTTCCATCATAAATCTTCTTCTCATGAACAGCAAGGGCATTATTGTCATCTGTTTTCACAAAAGGGACCTAGGGGACATTAAATCTCATTTGTCTGTTAGTCTGTCCGTTTGTCAGTCTGTCCGTCTGTCACAATAAATTTAACCTTGGTCATAACTTCTGAATAATAAGAGATAGTGCTTTCATATTTCACATGTACATTACCTACAAGAACTTTCTAAACATACCATGATTTTTGAACCCATGACCTTGACCTTGAAGTTTGACCTACTTTTCAAAAAATTTAACATTATTTTAAATGATCATTTTGAAAGAGAAAAGATAGGGCGTTCATGTTATACATGTATATTACCTGTGACAAGACCTTTCTAAATATATCATGACTTTTGACTCTGTGACATTGACCTTGAAGTTTAACCTACTTTTCAAAAATGTTATATTTCCTTATAACTTTTGATTGAGAAGAGATAGGACTTTTATATTTGACATGTACATTACCTGTAACAAGATGTTTCCAAGCATGCTATGATTTTTTTACCCCTTGACCTTGATGTTTTACCTAATTTTCAAAAACTTTAACTTTGGTGATTACTTTTGAATGACATATGATAAGGCCTGCATATTTGAAACAATATGTCATAAATAATGGCATCCCATCCACTAGGACACGGAAAGCAGGGGACCACAATTCTTTGAATTTGCTTGTTAGTCATTTTGATATGGAAACATCCTCATATAGTGTAGATTCAAGTTTTTTATGCCCTGCCATGAATATGGCCGAGGCATATAGTGTTTGTCATGTCCGACTTCAATAAAACGTCATATGCTGATACATACTGATGTAAGCTTTTCAACTGCATCAAAATTTTTGACCTTGACTTTTCCTTTGACCTTGACCTTACTTTTCTTAAATTAGTGTCTAGATCAGTTTTGAATAAACAATTCAAGATATATTTATCAAACTTCGTATGCTGATATATACTGCTGAGAGATATCAATTGCATCAACTTTTTTGACCTTGACTTTTCCTTTGACCTTGACCTTACTTTTTTAAATTAATGTTTATCTACGTTTTAAATAAACCATTTCTGATATTTTTATTGAACTTCTATGCTAATAGTAAATACATACTGATATAAGCTTTTCAACTGCATCAGCATTTTGTCCTCAACTTTTCCTTAGACCTTGACCTCTCTTTTCTCAAATAAGTGTTAAGCTCAGTTTTAAATAAATCATTCAAGATATTTTTATCAAACCTAATATGCTGATATGTATTAGTGAGAGCTATACAACTGCATCAAAAACTTTTCACCTTGCACTTTCCTGTGACCTTGACCTCCCTTCTCTTTAATTTGTATTTTGCTTACTAAATAGTTTTAAAGAAACAATCTAAGATATTTTTATGTAAGCATGCACTTATACATAATTTTGTGAGAAATTATCATCTATATCCATTTTTTTTTTAGATTTTAGTTTCAATTTTAAAGAAACTGTTCAAGATATTCTCATCAAACTTCATACACTCATACAAATTTTCATGTTGCATTAGTAATATACATTCGGCGGGGCATTTATGTCCTATGGACATATTTCTAGTTTTCAAATCATGACCTCCGAGGATAGGGTCAGGCCACAATAAGGGATCAAAGTTTTATAGAGATTTAAAAGGAAAAAAAATCTTCAAAATTCTTCTTTTTAAGAACAACTAAAGCATGATTAATATGGAAACATTCCCAAGAAGTGTAGATTCAAGTTTGTACAAGTCATGACCCCATGGGTTTGGGAAGGGCCATTTTTTTCCTGCCCCTATTTGCTATCCACATGGAAATGCAAATTTTAAAACCATTTTACACATCCACAGGACAAAATCAATCATCTTCCAAATGATCATGATTTAAGGCTAGTGCATAAAATATAAGGGAAGTTCTGGGAACCAGGATGTTTAAACATGTTAAATATTTTTTTTTTAAAAATTGACCCCCATTTGACCCCCAGGGGGAAAATAAGAATTCCGAAACCTTACTGCACATCTATAGGACACCACCAACCATCTCCCAAAAGATGATTAGGCTACTGTGTAAAATGTAAGAGGAGTTCTGGGAACCAGGGGCTTTTTGCATAAAAAACCTCATTTTTCGACCCCATTTGACCCCATTGTGAAAATGAAAATTCCGAAACCTTACTGCACATCAACATGACACCACCAACCATCTCCCAAAAGACGTTTATGCTACTGTGTAAAATGTAAGAGGAGTTCAGGGAACCAGGGGCTTTTTGCATAAAAAACGTCATTTTTCGACCCCCATTTGACCCCCAGGGTGAAAATGAAAATTCCGAAACCTTACTGCACATCTACAGGACAGCACTAACCATCTCCCAAAAGATGATTAGGCTACTGTGTAAAATGTAAGAGGAGTTCAGGGAACCAGGGACTTTTTGCATAAAAAACGTCATTTTTCGACCCCCATTTGACCCCCAGGGTGAAAATGAAAATTCAGAAACCTTACTGCACATCTGCAGGACACCACTAACCATCCTCCAAAAGATGATTAGGCTACTGTGTAAATTGTAAGAGGAGTTCTGGGAACCAGGGGCTTTTTGCATAAAAAACGTCATTTTTCGACCCCCATTTGACCCCAAGGGTGAAAATGAAAATTCCGAAACCTTACTGCACATCTACATAACACCACCAACCATCTCCCAAAAGATGATTAGGCTACTGTGTAAAATGTAAGAGGAGTTCAGGGAACCAGGGGCTTTTTGCATAAAAAACGTCATTTTTCGACCCCCATTTGACCCCCAGGGTGAAAATGAAAATTCCGAAACCTTACTGCACATCTACAGGACAGCACTAACCATCTCCCAAAAGATGATTAGGCTACTGTGTAAAATGTAAGAGGAGTTCAGGGAACCAGGGGCTTTTTGCATAAAAAACGTCATTTTTCGACCCCCATTTGACCCCCAGGGTGAAAATGAAAATTCCGAAACTTTACTGCACATCTACATGACACCACCAAACATCCCCCAAAAGATGATTAGGCTACTGTGTAAAATGTAAGAGGAGTTTGAGAAATAAGAGTGTGACGGACGGACGGACGGACGGACGGACAGACATGAGTAACAACAATATACCCGAACTTTCTTTAGAAAGTGCGGGTATAACAATATTATTATTAGTATTGCTGTTTTACTAGGCTATGCCAAAGTTTCATTCATTAAAAAAATATAATGAGCAATTACCGGTGTAGCATAATTTTTGAACACCTTTTAGATCCTAAAATACTATTATTAGTGACTTGGCATCTTCTCTGAAAAACCCAGTGGGGGGTATTTGTCCATATTGGACAGTTCCAGTTTAGTTCTAAAGGGAGTCAACCAGGAGTTATATGTAGAAAATAATAATGTTCTGAAAAAAACTATGTGTTTTTCCATATGCAAATTCATTTAATATTTTCTTTTTCTTTACAGATGAAAGGGAATTGCAGAAGAATGAATTGATGTTAACATCTCAACATTAAATTTGGCTTAAATTTGAATATGTCTTTTGTTGTGATTGCCTAAAGAGCAATTAGGATCAGGAAATTTTAGATGAAGGATATCCAGATATGTACCTTCAAAATGTGGATCATTCAACAGATGAAAAGAAAATAAGCCCCTGAAGAAAATTATGTCAAATGCATGAAATGAATATTTTAATTGCACATCATTTTTGTTTCACCTATGTTTACAATATATATGTGAAAAAGAATGTTCGGTGGTCAAAACATATGTTTAACCATGGTTTGGCACATGTATGGTACTAAATATACATTTATCATATGAGCAGTGCATTTAACAAACATGTTAAACGCATGTTTCTAAAAACATACGTTACACACATGTTGCACGTACGTTATTCATACGTGAACCATATGAATAACGTACGTGTGCAACATGTGTGTAACGTATGGTAGTCAATACGTATGTTTCACATACGTGTCACGCATGATATTCATATGTGTGAAAACGTACGTTTAACATACGTGGTGCTTTTTTCATGTGATACGTACATGAAGTCACGTACGTATCACATACGTTTAACGTACGTGATACGTACGTGGCACATTTTGCTGTGTATAAACAACCGAAAAAAATCTGTGTATATTGCTTAAAACATAGGAATGAAGTTGCAATGCTATATTCAAATTTCTTCTCTTTGTAACAGTACACACTACGATGTATACAAATGCTGTGCGCGTACTGCTGTAAACGTATGGTAAGCAGTCAACAGCATACTTATTATGTATATGACTACAACCAGAGTTGATTACCAATTACTTTGACAACCTTAACCATATCCTTAAGGATTTGCTATTATATTAATGGAACTCCCAAAAAGTGCATATTTATACGATCAAGGTATATTTGTTTCAACAAACACTGAAGACTAAGATATATTGGTGTATTCTTTAATAACAAATATTTACTCAATATTTTAGTCATGGTGCATCTAAATTATATTTAGTTCAATATAATGTGTCACTCTTGCATCCTATCTATTTGTAGCACAGTCCTTTGTAACAACCATATCCCTTGGGACAACGACTGCACTGGCGCCCAGGAGTAAACGGCTTTTTTCCTATCCAGTTCCCTCTACAATAAGGTAAGGTAAAATTAAGCTTAAGTTTGATAACTCTATATTTTAATGATTTTCGGCATATAAACCTGAAATTTTATTTTACATATAATTAGTATTGAAACTTTTAAAAAGTAGTTTCTTTAATACAAATTTTCGACTTAAGACACGTACGCTGGTCCGTAGTTGCAAACATAGTTATATCCTCCTCTGCCTCGGAAAAAGTTTCTACAATACGCTACCCCACATCCAAGATATTCAGAGTCCGCCCATACAACCTAGGAAAAAGTTCTATAAAATAGAGATCGTTTACTAATATAGAAAGAAAAAAGTAAGACCAGGTTCCGTATTAAAAAGTTATTTTTATGATGAAGTTAATTAAATTTTGGTTCCTACTGCCTGATATACTTTATTTTCTCGAATACAATACACAACATTGACTATCTGATAGTCTTGTTGTATATTTCATTTGATGAAATGAAGTATATCAGGAAGAATACCACCATAAACAATGGATAAGTGCAATAATAATGACTACTGGTATTCCATCAAGAACAAGTCTTTGCCTGAGCCCAATCACCAAGTACAAAAATAAATAAATAAATAAATATATATATATATATATATATATATATATATATATATATATATATATATATATATATATATATATATATATATATAAGGGATGTCAAATCGGTCAACATTTGATAATCGGTTACTCGGACGATTTTCCGATCGAGTACCCGGGTACTCGGTAAAATTGTAAAATACAAATGTGTTCATTTCATTGAGACCAGTTAAGCCCTGTTTAACCCCATCGAGGTTTTTTTTAACGTTTTCTATGCCTGTACACAAACATCGAGCAAAACGAAAACGAAAATGATTTTTTTCACTAAATTTTTTTTATCAAATAAACACAAAAGATAAAGGAAAAAGAGACGGTATCGAGATCGCTAGACGTACAGTATATTATTTAATTAATAGTTGTATGTTGGTTGTTTTCCCCATATACGCTATGTTTACTTTGCACAGCTAATTCTAAACATTTTTTAAATCTTTAGTTCTTTCCTAATATTTTTTTTTCACTTTTGAAGTGGTAGCGGCATTTCTTTGCATGTCCGAATTCGCTACCGTATGCGACTGAACTAAATTATTTTAGGATAATAAACCCTAATTAAACAATGTTCATTAAATACTAATCATTAAAGCCATCCAAAAAATAACGGATCACAAGAGGTGATAACAGCTGTGTGCCAGGTGATAATTACTGTACAAACAAGTGCACGGCCACAGACAATAACGGGTATTAACAGGTGTGGATGACGCTAATTACAAGGAAACATGGATAATTCATTTTGAAACTGCATTTTTATAAGTTTTTGATTTAAAAAAAAATATATACTTTGTTCTTTGAAATATGAAAAAATAATATACATCCGAGTAACCGAGTAGCGATTTTTAGTATTCGATACTCGGACGTTCGATCGAGTACCCGGTTAACCGGGTACTCGTTGACATCCCTAATATATATACAAAGTCCGATGGTGACGCCAAAGTCCGATGGTCTCGCCAAAGTCCGATGGTCTGCGCCAAACCCCGATGGTTTGATGTCAGTACGGACGCCAAAGTCCGATGGTCAAGCTAAAGTCCGATGGCTCGTTTCCCATGGGACGCACTGCGCTAAAGTGCGATGGTCTGACACGCCAAAGTCCGATGGTGCAGAGAAACAATCAACGTTTCGTCACAATATTCCGACGTCAATCCTTGACGCCGTTGTCCTACAATCAAAACTTTTGAATCAAAAGCCATCAATTCAGAATTAGTCCTCGCATACAATTTTACTGATTTTGCTTATTGATTGCACTCATCAGAGATATTAGGGTTAATTCTCGCACACCACATGACTGATCAGGGTTAGTCCTTGCACATTATAGGAATTATGGGATAGCTATACGCACCAACCCAAGAGACTTAGGGTTATTCCTCGCACTCTATTCGACTGATTATGGTTAGTCTCGCACCCACCAAAGATATCTAGGTTACAGTTGCTATACACACTTTTCGAGCGATTAGGGTTAGTTTCGCACCTATCCGAGAGATTAGGGTTAGTTTTTTGCATAATGATATTTATTTATACTTATTTTTAAAGATCTTGGCATGGCGCGGCATCGCAATTCGGCGCAGTAGTACTATGACGTCACAAACGTTAATTGTTTAGGCACCATCGGACTTTGGCGTGTCAAACCATCAGGGTTTGGCGCAGACCATCGGACTTTGGCGTGCCCATCGGACTTTGGAGTCCCATCGCACTTTGGAGCCCTACATATATAAACAGAGGCAAAGATCTAAATAAGTGTGCTTCTGATTCGCCTTTGACGTCCCCCTACAATGTCACTTTCTGAAATATTGAATTAACAATGAAGTGAAGAATTTTGTAAGCTTTATGGAAGGTTTATGAAATGATATAAATAACCTAAACCACATTTTAAGCCTAATTACAATACATACCTGTGTGTAATGTCCACAGACACCAGAGCAATGGTTGGAATAAAAATTATACTGAGATTTTTCCGAATACCAGCTCCTTAATACATCAGTAGCAGATGCACGATCTGAAAAACATCATAAAATTCAATGTTTTGATATACTGGATTCTTGAGAAATGAAGATCAACTCTGATACTATCACTAAGAACTCCAGGACTGGCCACGTGATTTATAACCACGGCATTTTGTTTTACTGTGATATTAATTAAAGGGGTTTTTAAAATCACGTTTCTAAATTTCTTTTTTAAACACAAATATATTTTGATTACATATATTATTATTTTTTTAACCCTTTAATTGCTTTGAAAAACGGTCGTTATTAGGTGAAAAAAAAACGCCCGTAGGATTCTCTCAGTCAAAATCTCCACTAATCAGATAGCGGAACACATGTTACTAAAAATGAATGGGTGCTACTGGATTATCACTAAAATTAAAGACAAAGGGAAATAAAACTGAGGTCTTACTTACTAGTGCTGCGGTATATATTTTCACCAAGGTTGCGGAAATACCGTGATTTTCTCCTTGGATTGTGACCTTCACGACATGTATTTGCCCATTTCTGTGCTACATTAGCTAATTCTTTGCTCCATTTCTATAAAAACAATTCACCTTATTTTATTGTCAAATAAAAATAATGTTAAGGGCAAGATTATTTTTCAAACCCCGATTATTCAACTTTTTGGATTATCCATAGCATAAAAATGTAAATTATATTTCAAATCCCCATGATACACTATGAGCAGAGAAAGCAAGATATACTGCAGCTATTCATAATTACATAAAATGATTAAGAAGGATAATTTATGGAGTTTAAATTTAGGATATGCATTTAATCCCAGCATTCTTTTTCCATTCTTCTAAAAATATTCATAATATTTCCTCATACTAATATTTCAAAATATACACGAGGCTTCTGAATATTATTTTTTCAGTGCTTATAAAAATATAAGGTTCTTAAACATAAATGTATTTTACCATCATCTTCATATCTGCAGCTCCCTTTTCACGAATCCTCATATCGTTATGTGCCTAAAATTTTTGATTAGATTCCACAAATAAATAACAAAATTATTATAAGGAATATAAATTATATCAATTATATAATTTATAATTGTTAAAAGTCAAATAAATTTCCATTATGATAACTATTGCTTGGGCTTATGCTTCATAAGGAATTTCAATGTTTAGGCTGTGACTCTGGCTAAAATAAGAACAGGCATGTGTATAATCCGAAGGAACAAGCAAGTCTTGACGGTTTTGAGTGAAAATTCTAATAGAATGAAAAAGCTGAAGGTAACGAACAGTGTTCGATCTCATATATTCTGTAAACAATACAAATTGTGAACAGGAAAAAAATCGGGGCCCTGGTGGACTACGGATTTCTCCGTTCGCCCAATCGTGATAAAGTGCGAGTAAGACTTCTTTACGTCTCCTTAGCATCTGATCGTACCTCTGATGTTTTCAGAGGTCCACGTTTGCTTTTCTCACAGTCTGTAATGTTAATTTAATTTTTGAGCATGATTACTATTCATTATACATTTAATGGTATTCATTTTTCCTTTTTTGTTTTCTGATTCTCTAATATGTTTCTAAAACTCTTCACCCATCCTGACAGTTTCGAGGTTTTCTCTTAATATTTAGCACATCGTTTGACATATTAATCGACGGAATTCATGATAGAAATGAAGTTTTGTCGCTATTTAAAAGATCAGGGCTCCTTGTATTTAGGACCTTTTAAAATGATTGCTTTCAGGTCTTCATTTTCAACTTTTCATTCTTCATTTTTCTTGCACAACACCAGTGATGATGTGTCGAGCAGGACAATACACAAAACAAAGAAATTAACAAAAATAAGCATAAGTTATAAGTACCTGTAATAAATCTCTTTGGGCAAAAGTCCCATGACAGAGGCCGAGGAGAATGACCAGAATCCACCTCATGATTTTGTTCCAATTTCACATGAACGTTGGTGAGGCATTTATATAGGTTAATGCAAGCCTTCTTTTTTTAACATATCCCACTCACAAGATATTAGCAACAGTTTGAAAAGGGTTTTTCTGATGCATAATTAGTGAGCTCATTCAGTTTTCGTAAGATTTCATATCTAAACATGTTGAAAGGGACTCTTGATATTGACATTTTTTCCATAAAGAAGGTTATTTATGATTTTTAGCTGAATATATTATTCTAGAATAACCGTAATTGTGTTACAAAAAGTATTTCCTGCCATTGTTTTGCATTGTGTTTTCTTAATTAAACTGAATTCATGGTGATTGTATTAATATAATTAATAATTATAGTTTTTGTCCTCTCCAATATGTCAGTAAAATGCGCATTATCTTATTTGAAAAAGAAGTGGTTTGTAATAAAATATTTCCTACATTTTGATTAATAAAATACATGGTACATGTTCCTTGATTCTGTTAATTAAAACCAAAAATTTTTCCCCATTTGTTTATTTTGAGATCTGAGAAATAACAAAAAATGCAATTGCAACGCATTGATCAAAGTATTAATACTAAAAGTGTAAAGAATCTTAAAGTGAGTCAGGAATTCATCTTGGTCTTATACGTTGTAAGTAATCTCAAAGTCGGGATTATTTCTTGGTCTTATACTTGTATCTTGTAATGAAATATGAAGACAACGAACAGTAATCAAGATTAAAAGTCCATAGAAAAAATACATATTGGGAACAGTGCAAACACTGGCCTGTAAAAATATCAGAGGTGGGATCAGGTGCCATGGAGGAGTAAGCATCCTGTGTCGGCCGGCCACACCCGCCGTGTACTCTTTATCATAATCGGGCACCCGTAGACAATTTGGTGTGAAAATAATGGGCTAACAATTGTATGAAAAACGAAGGAATCTCATAGTCAGGACTATTTCTATAGCTTACTGTATACCTTGTAACTAAGGACTATTTTGTTGGGCTTATCTTAATTTGTTAACTATCCTGCCTTCTCAAAAGACACTCTGTTAGAGTCAAAATTACATTCATGCAGTTTACTGATATAATGTCGCTCCCTAGCTAGGGGTCCGTGTTTTAAGCCGAGTTCAAAGATATGTATTGTTTGTATTTTTGTTGTTGTTGTTGAGATTGACCAGTGTTCGTTATCTTCACCTTTTTCATATACTGAGTACATGCATACCAGGGTTCTCACTAGGATTTTGCTGACTTGAGTCCCAGGACTTAAGATTTCTGACAAGGTTGCGTCCCAGCTAAATTTGATGCGTCCCAGAAAAATTATGTTGAGTCCCAACTGAATTATTGCAGTGTCCTTCCATCCAAACATCAAAAAAAATCTTTCATTTTTTTTAACAGTTTGTTTACGAAATATTAACATATTCAAATATGTAAACTGGTGATGCATCCAAGCCAAAGTATTCTAAAATACACGCGTAATTAACTGCCATAAAAATAAACTTGGTGTTTATAATGCTAAAATTAACTGTTGCATAATCAATTAGTACCCTAAAGTTGACTGTATACAATCACAGGTGTCATGTGCAATGAGGCGTAACTAATCCTGTCGGTCGTCTGCACTGGGTGAAATTCACGAGATAATCAAGCCGCATTGTGTATACAAGCAGTAATTATGGTTTCTAGATAAAACTCAAGATTCAAAAGTGTTGAAAAAAAAGCTGCTTTGTGTTTACAGCTATCGGAGTTTGGCATGCAACACTATTATGACTATGGACTAATAAACATGAAATATCTTATAATCAATCCCTGTTTTTTTTGTAAAAAAAAAAGTAGAAATAGGTACAAGAAAAGTTGTTTCTAGGATAAACTTTATGATAGTTACAGGAAGGTTTCGATTAAATATTTCTTTGACAAATCCTAACATCTGAAACCTCCGGTTTTCGAAAGCACCCGAATTTTCTCGCTGACGAGGACGCGTCCACTCATGAGTCCGCGGACGCATCGTTTTTAAGAACCTTGCGTCCCAAATAATTTTGCTGCGTCTAGGACGCAGATTCTTGCGTTAATGAGAACCCTGCATACTGAATTCAGATTATGTCATGCAAGATGATCGTTACAACATTAATTGAAAAGAAATAGCTAAAACAACCATGTCATATTTTTCTTTTTTTGATATCATCAATTCGTGCACATACCCTGAATATATAGAGCACACGACCAATGCTCTGTTCTACAGATATCTATTATATTAAAATTATGTTTTTCAGCACATGTAAGAGCTTCATGGTTCTAAAACTCATCCCCTTTCCATGAAATAGGATTTTTGAGTGTGGACAATTTTCCTTTTTTTTTTTTGGCTTGTGAAATGTTTTGCTGGTAAGTTGTCAATTATTTTTCAGGCTACCCCTTTCAGAAACTATACTATGTGCTTGCAACATACTTAATGTACTTATTTACTCCATGTACAAATCCCTTTTAAGGTTACCTGAGTCACTCAGGTGACTTATTGCTATCTATTTTCGTCCGTCGTCGTGTGTCGTACGTTAACATTTAAACATTTCCAGCTTCTTCTCTGGAAACGCTGAACCAGTTTCAACCAAATTTGACCTATGGCATCTATTGGTGAAGGGAAATAAAAATTAAGAAATTCATGGTCTCGCCCCCCCCCTCCCCCCCCCCCCCCCCCGTCCTGAAAAGTGGGACTATTAACCATCAAAATCAGTGCAATCTTTAAAAATCATCTTCTTTACTCCTGAACAACAAGGAGTTGGCATGATTTCAATAAGTATTGAGCCCTCTATTAAAATTTTGAAATTCATGGCCCCTCGATCAGGGTTTCTGGTGTTAGGGTGGGCTATATTAAACTATACATTCTTTAAAAAGCTTCTTCTCTCCTTCTGTATATTTGGAAGACAAGCTAAGCCAATGATGTATTATGAATAAGGGTGCCTCTTCCTAAATTGTGAAATTCATGGCCCCTGGATCGTGGGTGCTGTTTTAGGACGGGGCTCTATTCATTCTAAAGTGAAAATGCATTATTTCTTTGAAAATCTTCTCTGCGCCTGAGTATTAAGCAAACAAAGTATATGGTAAGAATCATATTGAAAATAAATATATCATTTTAAAAATATTCAATTTCAACAAATTTTGGCATATGGTGTCTATGCATGAAGGGAAACAAAAATTGTGAATTTCATGGTCTCCCACCCCCACCCCCGGGATGGGGTGGGGGCTGAGATGTACGGCTCAACCATCAAAATAAGTGCAATTTTTTTTTACTCCTGGGCATCAAGCATTCAAATTGTTGCAGGGTTGAATAGACATTGAACCCTTTACCAAAATTTTGAAATTCATACCACAGAGTTTGGTGTTCTAGAGTTGCGTTATGATGCATGGCTATGATAAGCAAGGGTGCCTCTTCCAAAATTGCGAATTTTTGGGCCCGGCCCTGGATCAGGAGTTCTGGTGTTAGGGTGGAGTTCTACTGATCGTAGAGTGAAAATGCATACTCTTTTTTCTTTGAAAATCTTCTTCTCTGCCCCTTGGCATTTATTAAACATACTGAATGCATTGTTATGATAAGCAAGGATGCCTCTTCCAAAATTGTGAATTACTAGGCTCAGCTCTTGGTCAGGGGCTCCTGTGTTTGGGCGGGGCTTTAATGATTACTAGTGTACAATGAAATGTTTTATTTCTTTGAAAATCTTCTCTTCTCCTGAGTATTAATTAAACATACTAAATGCATGATTAGGATGAGCAAGGGTGCCGCTTCCGAAATTGTGAATGTCTATGCTCTGCCCTGGGTCAGAGGTTCTGGTGTTAGGGTGGGGATCTATTGATTATATAGTGATAATGCAATATTTTTTTTTATTAAAATCTTAATTCTTCTCTGTCCCTAGGTATTTAGCAGATTAACTAAGTGCATGGTTATGATGAGCAAGTGTACCTCTTCCAAAATTGTGAATTTCATGTCCCCACGGTCAGGGGTTTTGGTGTTGGGGGGCTGTGTTGAATCCATAGTGAAAATGCATTATTTCTTTGAAAATCTTCTCTGTTTTTTGGGCATTAAGAAGGTAGTTTGTAATACGTAGGCAAGGGTATTTTACCAGATTTTTGAAATTATGGACCACTTGGTCAAGAGTTGTGATGCTGGGGAGGACTCTATTAATTTGTTCATTTATTAATTAATTTTTCTACTAAGAGAAGTTATCCCCATTTGCTATTCACCTATGATAATTAATCACTGTGAATAACGAAATTGAAAGGTCAACTGAATAAGAGAATTATATAAGAATTTTATGATATGCTAGTATTAAATAAATTACAAAAATTATTTTCATGATCTTTTAATAATCAGGTAGCCTTGTTAGTATTAGATAAATAAAAATGAGAAGAATATATTATATATAATGTACCTTAATATCTTCGAAGGCCAAGATAGGCCACTGTGAGAGGGAATGAGATGGGTTTCCTAATAGTGCTCAAGTAACATTGCTTTGTTTGGTTTGCATGGTGATAGTGACAAATGGGGACCAGTACAGGCAAAGAAATTGATCTATTTCAAGATATTTTACTGAACACTAGACTAATTATTTTGTTGATCCCTAATCATCCTATTTCTGTTGTTTCGGGGCAACAATTTTGGATCTTTTACAGTGTTGTATTATACTCGGTTGACCCTTAAGGCCTTTGGGCCTCTTGATTAAGATCTTAAGAAGGGTCCACTATTCCTAGGGGAGAGGAAACCAAAAGTTGGTTGCAGCCTTCTTTACTATGTAGAATAAACACTGAAAATCCTTGGAGGGATGATCCGGTTCCCTGTTGGATCCGCTCCTTTCCTGCAATAACAGGATATGTAATTGGGACTAAATATAGGTCTTTGAAAAAGAGAAATGTTCGGCTATTTTTTTTAATCAAGTACCAAAATAACTTGAGAGGGATCGTAGTTTCTGCAGTTTTATAAGAACCACTTATGCAGAAAGAATAGATTACTTCATGTATTAGTAGATAATCTGATAGACACGTTTTGTTTTTCATAAAGAATTTTTTGAAAAACTTTTCTATGTAAATAACCTTTTTAATCTTTAATATCTAGATGATGAAAGATTTGTCCTTAAAGAATATGGAACAATATTGAGCAGTAAACATCTTTATGCACTGTTGCACTGTTTTAACGTTTAATTGCACACGTGTTAATGTATTTTTTATATGATATTATTCATAACACATCAACTTGAAATATAATCAATATGACACGTGTGGCTCCTGGGACATTGACTGGTCCGTTATGTAGGAGAGGCTTTGTTTTCCCTCCAGATACCAATTCCAAACATTTCTAATTAATAATCAACTAATTGTCAAAAACCGTTGTGTTCCACATCAACAACCGATTGCCTTTAGCTGTTTTATTTCCATTTTAAATTCGCGGAATCCACCAGAGTTATTGCAGCTGTGAATCGATGCATGATTTATTTGGGCAAGAGTTAAAAAGTTCTTGTACCAAGATTACAAATTAAAATGAGCACGTGTTTGAATATATATATGGTAAGGAAGGCGTTAATAATATATGGTCCTGTCCTGTGTAATTTTATTTATTTTTATTTTATAATTTGACCTGTAAATTATATTTATTACAAAATAATGTTTTAATAATATTTTAAATTGATGGTAAAACTCCGAGGTGTAGGTCAAAAATTCAAAAATGTTGGTACCCAAAGAAAGGTCTTGTCACAAGGAATACAAATTTGAAATATGAAAGCCCTAGTACCAATCGTTGAAAAGTTATAGGCAACGGTTAAAGTTTGGTAAAATTTTGCAAAAATTGTTCAAAGTCTGATAAGGAACATGACAAGGAGCACAAGGCGGGTGTGACCGGTCGACAGGGGATGCTCACTCCTCCATGGCACCTGAATCCACCTCTGATGTTTAAAATGTCCGTGCTTGCTCTGCTCCTGATTTGTATTGTCTAAATGGACTTTTGAGCTTGAATACTGTTCTTTATCTACATATTTCACTAAGTCACAAAAGGTCAATTTAGGTGTGTTACTGTAAACTTTATATTGTTATTATACATTATTTTTAAGTAAACTCATGTTTTGATCTCATTAAATTCAATAATTACATATGCTTTATTGCAAGAAAAACATACAATGGGCTTGGATTTGCGATTCTTTGGTGACATTTTGCTACCTTTTTTTTATATATCGATGCATTAATACCAAGTGACTTTACCTTTATCAATTCAATAATCACCAATAGCTGGTTCATGCATAAAGGGATGATAAATTCATATTTTTTTTAAAATTAAAAACTCACTAGAATAAGTAGTTTGCTGTCACAAGCTTTTGTATTATATTTGTGAAAACTAAAAGTTTTAAAGTTAAAAGGTTTAACTTGTTAAGGGTTTTCATCTAGTCCCCCTGCCTGCTTCACATGCTATAAATAGAGATTGTGTCACCAGGCTTGCATTCATGCGGGTGGCACGTAACCTGATATACAAGGAATTTTCATAACTGCTATAAAATCTTCAAAATTTCGAATGTTATCAACAAAATTTTATTTACTTCTTCTATCTATTTTACCATTGCCTTACGATTTCATTCAGATGTATGCAAATATTTAAATGAACACAACGTTAGATTTCGTCTATTGCCGCAGTGCAAGAATGTTACCGACGTCGTTATGACGGTACTTTTTGAAGTTACTCAGCTCGAACTATGGAGCGATGATACGTTGATGATGGTACGATGACGATGTAGCGATACTCACTATCACTTCATCGTTCTATCGCACCATCGTCGTCGTTATCGTTCACCGCGCTATTGCTGCATCGCGTACGCGTCGTTATTGCACCATCGCATCATCGTCATAATAGCACCCGAAATTTAGAGGAAAAATAGGGTAATGAGTTGGATTTTTTTTCCAATGAAGCGATAATGTTTAACTCCCCTCGGCAGTGCGATGTCGAACTACTTGGCCCTATCCGTATTCCATTGTTATTACAATGTATGTTTCATGTTTCATGTTCACAACTTTGTAAATGAGCCGGACTCTGTGTACTTCTGAGTACTTTTATTACTATCTAATCGAACAAATTATATATGGCTCAGTGATTAGAGTAAGAAGTTGATCCTTACGTCGCGAGTTCGAATCCCACTGTGGGACGAGACCGTATAAACCGAGTACCCGAGTCGCAGTAGGTGCTGGCACGAAAAAGGTCCCTACTGCTCAATAGCCCTTAGTGCCTAGTATAGCCCTCCACCGGCAAGTGGTGGAGTCTCCGTATGAGTGAAGTATTCTCAAGAGGGACGTTAAATAACAAACAAATAAAAAAATAATCGGACAAATGCAATATCTGAAAAAATTGTCAACAGTGGAAACAGACAGGCACATGTTATACCTTATGGACCATAAGCCCTTTTCACACACAAGAAGAAATCTTACATTAGACAGATATGTTATTTCTTTGTTCAGTAAAGAATTTTCCCTATTCACAATATATTCTAATGTGAAAGAAATATAAGAATTTTTATGACCTAATATAGCTTAGATACTTTTTAGAGGATTAGAAATTTTTGTCCTAGATATTTGGTGAAAAGGTCCACAGATCAATTTAAAGTTCATATTAATTATTAAGCTGAATGAAAATAAGCAAGTCCTTTACAAACTAGCCATTGCAAATTCATAGCACGTGGGTGCATGTGTTTGCATAACTATATCATACGTTTTAGATGTATTATTATATAATTACGTTTTTAGATTTCAATTTTAAAAAAGTGTATAATATAAATTTATATACATATATAATAAATGCACTCGTTTTATGCACAGAATAATGTAGCTTACAGTAATTCGTCATATGGGGAAGAACTATTATGTAGCTGGTTTTCGGGGGAGAGGGGGGGGCTACTATGGAGGGAAAGTTACTTTACAACACCAGATCAAATATACATGTGTATCCTATGTACGTGAAATATTGTTTTTAGTTACCTTTTGTTTTGCCTCGGGAAAAAAAAGATGATAACTAGAATTAATCATAAATATATCGAAAAAGAATTTGAAGATAATGACAAGAGCTGAAATTGATCTGTACATTGTTCTAAGATCAGTGCTACAGTACATACATATAGTGTTTCTAAATCAAATGGGTTTTTACCTTGGAGAATGTAAATCGTTTAAAGTTTCTGAATCTGGTTTGTAGGGATGAAAGTATCAATTAAATAACAGGAATATAACATCCATCTTTTTACAATTGCAGTTTCTTAAAAGAGAAGGCCAACTTCAGACACCCCAAAAAAAAATTAGATAAATAAATAAATAAATAAATAAATAAAATAAAGTTATAATAATGTGGGGGTACCCTACGGCTTTCCATACATACTAGGAAGAAGTACTCTAAAAGTGTAAGCTTTACAACTTATATAGGTCAACTTTAGATAAAGAACTGACAAAAACGCCTTTTATTCTGTTTAATGAGAGAAAAAAAAGACACAATTTCCAAAAGGTAGAGCTAAAATAAAACTTTAGACTGTCTAAATAAGAATTACAATACATATGAAAAATTATAGAATTGAATATTAATAGAAAACTGAGCAAAAATATAAAAAGTGAAAAATATAAAATATAATTCCAAGAAAAAGTACAAAATACACACGGAAAGTTGAAAACCACAAATCCTATAGTGTAAAAAAAAAGCTTGAAAGTACTTAGTATACAGATAACGCTGAAAATAGCCAAAATTAGAATATCACTTTGAAATGAAATTAAATCAGTTTGTACCTGTATTAAGGTTCAGTAACAAATGCTAAGCCTAAATGTGTCGGAAAACTCTAAAAGAAAAAAAATGAATTAAAAAAAAAATATATTGAAAAACAAAAACACTAAAACTAGAATATTTTTTTTATAATATGCTATGTAGCATCACGTTGGTGATCCGTTGGTTCGTGTTTGATTTATTTGACACACAATCGGTTGTAACACCGGTACCCACTTGGACATCGACTACAGCGTCTTCCCTGGCTGTATGGCCTCCGTCCTGAAATGTTACCTCTAGAAACAACAAAAATAATCTCATTATAGAATCATAAAACAAGGGTTAAAAGATTTAACATTGACTTGTCTAATGAATGTTTGACGATTTCTGTTTTAGCAAGCTCGAGACAAAGTGTTGTTCTTATTATAGAACTTCGTTATCTTTCAAATTCAAGGAATGACACTTACCCTGGCCCATAGTTGCAGACATAAATGTAAAAGTTGCTACATCTTTGCTTCGCACATCCAAGATACTCAGAGTTTGCCCAGACAACCTTGAACGAAAATCAAGAGATTTAAATAAAAGAAATATTAACTAAAATACCAGTTTTGAACGGATGAGCAAATTTTTATTGACTATACCGTATAAGCAGAATTTTTAGCGAGGATTTAATTTTGGCATTATTAGCGAGGGTGATTGCTAAAATTGATTCTCGCTAAAAATTAATTACCATTATTTAAAGAAAAATCGCTAAATTTGCGTCTCACTAAAATTTCCACTTATACGGTATTCCTGTCAAGGGTTTGATTAAAGAACTATATCCCACTCACAGCCAGTGGCTAATTAAAGGCCGTGTATACTATATTCTTTTTAAATTCTTAATTATCATATCAATAAATAATCAACCGATCATATTGTGTGAAATCAAAAATGGCGTCTTGCAGAAGTTGAATGAAAATTTTGTAAGGAGTGGATAGCACAAACTATAGTTTTGCTATACGTGAAAATTTTCAAACTATAAAAAATAGTAATAGTAATAGATGTATAATAAATAATTTATTATTATTAATAATTGTGCATACTGTATCTTCATAAATACAGCGAAGAAAACTATCGCAAAGCAAGTATAAATTGTACCGAAAAATATTAATTTGGAGTACAACATACATTTACGATTTTTGTATCTTTCACCTGTTTTACTTCTTTTTTTTTTAAATTTAAATCAAGCTTACTTATCTGTACACTTTTCATTACTTTAATCAATTTTATGTTTTCTTTTTTTTTTTTACTGATGCATAAGAAAAAAGGGATCTAAAAAAACTCTCCTTCTGTATCTTGATAAACTTGCCTGTGTGTAATGGCCACATACTCCAGAACAACTGTTTGCATTGTAGTTGTATTTGGATACTTCCGCGTACCACCAATTTACGGCTTCAGCAGGAGTTCTAGAATCTTTAGGTAAAATAAATCAGTATAAATACATATATACACAGTCCTCAGAGTCTAGTATGGTTTATTTTATAATAAATTGATCTCAAACTTTATAATCATTTTGTTTTATATAAAATACATAGATAGCGTAATAATGAAGATAATGTAATAAGCGAGTTATTTCATTCAAGAACTTATTTATTATGAATGAAAAACTCTCCCTGAACATAATTCAATTTATCAACAAAATAAATAAATAAATAAAAATGCATATTTCATTTAAAAAAAATAATGTAGTCGTGCCAGTGTTTCGTTATGCTTGTGAAATAACTTTGATCGACTTATTGATCATGATTGTGTTTATTAAATTTTTTTTAAAAATGTACTTTACTTACAAAGTAGTTCTTCAATATTTATAGTTAATGGTGAAACGGGGAACTCTCTTTTAGCATGGTGTATTGTATCATATCAGTGTGAATTATAAAACTAAAAATACCTATTTACCTATTTACTATATAGACAGTTAATCGCTAATTTACGAGTTAAAAATAGTATAAACCAATTAATCGACTGTGTACATGACAGTTTTGACTTATGTGGATTATGTAATGTTTTGAATGATCATATAATGTTGGGTGTGTTCCCGTTTTGCACACATTTGATAATTAGGTATAGAACAATAGGTGTGAAATATGTTTTGATAGCAATTATAGTCTGATCTCCATCAGTACGGAAGCGTATTAGTGCCATTTTGACACTTTTTAATTAAACACTTGAATCTGTAAAATTACAGATTAAATTGTAAAATTTAGTTTTAAGTGTAAATTTTACAGATTAAAGTGTAAAATTTACAGATTAAAGTGTAAAATTTACACTTTAATGTGTAAAATTTACACTTTAATGTGTAAAATTTACACTTTAAAGTGTAAATTTCACAGATTAATGTGTAAAATTTACAGATTAAAGTGTAAATTTTACAGATTAAAGTGTAAATTTTACAGATTAAATTGTAAAATTTACAGATTAAAGTGTGGAAAATGAAAAATTAAAAAGTGTTCACGTGGCACTAATATGCTTCCGTACATCTGGGATTTATCTGGAATTATCTGTACTTTATCAATGCATTATACATGTACTAAGTATTTAAAAGAATACATTATGAAAATTTTACTTGTCCAAACCAAGTGAAGATGAAGTTGATAATTTAGACAAATATCTCTATTGCAGTACACCCTGTTTTTTTTATTTCATAAAGATAAAATAAATGAGCAACTGAAATTCAATTCAATCTTAATTAATAAAGAATTAACTTGTCCAGTTAGTATCACGTTGATAGAATTATAGTTTTGATTAGTAATTATGATATTTTTTATGTTTTAAAATATTTTTTTATTATGAAATTAAAGAAATAAATCAAAATATCAAGTGCAAAATTAAATTAATTTTTTTTCTTTTGATTCTTTCCGTAGAATCTCTTTCTCCAAATTCACAACTCTGATATTCTTTATATTTTAAAATAAGAAATAAATCAAAATATTAAGTGCAAAATTATTTTTTTTTCTTCCGATTCTTTCCGTAGAATCGCATTCTCCAAATTCACAACTCTGATATAGACTATAGCAATTAAGTAATTATCTTACCTGAACAAATTCCCGTTATAGACACATTTTTCAGTACCTAAAATTCAAATTTGTGCAAAACGGGAACAAACCCAATGATGTTATCATAATCAAAATTGAGCTACCATTGTTGTTCAGCAAAGACTTCGGGACTAATTTAGAAAAAAAGTGGCACGTTTACAGAATTTTATAATTATTTTTCTAAATGTTGGTGGAAAAATACTCAAACACTTTTCACATTCGAAATTTGATTTTTAAAGTTTATACACAACACCTTTGGATAACCAAAAATATTTATAAAATTCGGTACGTCAAATCACCTTTTACCAGTTAACCTGGGAGCATTAAATGAAAGGTATTTGGATAACCAAATATATTTATAAAATTCTGTACGTCATATCACCTTTTACCAGTTTATAAGCAGGGAACTATTAAATGAAAGTCCCGCAAGGGTCAGTTTTAGGTCCATTTCTTTTTCTTATCTATATCAATGATATAACTGAAAACATACAAAATCAAATAAGACTGTTTGCAGATGACACATCCTTGATTGTTATTGTAGATGCTGACACAGTCAGCCCAGCAGTATCTCTTACTGATGATCTTGAAAAAATAAGGCAATGGTGTCATCAATGTCTAGTTGAATTTAACCCTACGAAGACAGTAAATGTTAATTTTACTAGAACTCAACGAGTACACCCAAATATCTCATTTGGGAATACAATGAATAGTATTTCTCAGAATCAAAGTCACTGTCATCTAGGGTTGACATTACAGTCTAATGGGGGGTGGTCCGAACATATTACAACAATTTATGAGAAAGCTTGCTTACGACTAAATATATTGCGTACACTTAAATATAAATTAAAAAGGGACTTGTTAATCAAAATATATCTTTCATTTGTTCGACCAGTTGTAGAATATGGGGATGTGGTATGGGATAATTGCACTGAAGAACAATCCAAATTACTGGAAAGTGTTCAGGTGGAAGCTGCAAGAATAATTACAGGTACTAGGTGCAATACATCCAAAACTAACCTAT